AGGATCTCAACTGAGTTTCCTTGACCTCCAGCCCTGGCAGGCCTCGAATATTTGAAACTGTCCTCAGCCTCCGCGGGAACTAAGAAAACAGGTGTGCACCACCCTATCTTTGCTGGGCTACTTTTCCCAACCTAAACACCTGCTACGCAGGGATGCAGAGAGCCCGTCGCAAGTGGGAGAGGAGAGGCTGCCGGCCGTGTTTACTGGTGTCCCAGCTGGTCCCTCCCCCGCGGTATCCTTATCTGATTCCCTCTCCTTGCTTTGTCTCCTCTCTGTTCCCTCTTAGGCTTCCTTTTCTGGCTTCCTGTTTTCCTAAACCTCTGTTATCTCGCCCTCCCGCAGTTTCTTTTGCTCTGGGTCTTTGGTTGTTCCCTCTTGCAGCCTCGCCTTTCTCATTCAGTCTGAAGTTAGCTCGGTCTTTGCTTCCTCCGGGTCAGGCTTCAGGCAGCCCCAAACCAACCCCTTCTCCCCAGCCCGTGCTTCTCGCCTATGGAGAGGGAATGAGTTAAGGCTGGGGACACAAAAGACGTTTTCTCCAGGTCCCTCCCTGTTCACATTGGAAGCTGGCACCTAGAAGGGTCAGGGTAGGAGCTGGAGAGCCCCTGGCTGGCTTTCCCTCCCACCCCCTCAGTTCTCAGGAATCTAGCAGGGGACACACCAACAGGGGCAGGCCAGGGCTTGAGCTGTCCGGTCACTTGGGTCAGATCACGGCTTCAGTCCCCCCACTGTCTCTGGCACACCCTGAGCCTGGAGCTTTTCCTGGCACCAAACTCTGGCATTATCTGGAGGCAGGCACCTCTACCACGATGATTCACGGGGCCCAATGAGAAGAAGGGTCAGGGGGCTGAGTGGCAGGGCTCAGGGCAGCCACACTTCATCTCCATGGGGGCTAGAAACACTCTCAGAGCCTCGGGAGACCATATCAGGCATGTCTCCCACCAAAGACTTGGATTGTTTTGGTGTTTTTTGAGCCAGGTTGACCTTGAACGCTGAATCCTCCTGCCTACGCTCGCTCGCTCCAAATGCTGGAAATGCTGGAATTACAGGTTTGTACCACCAAGACCTAGCTGAGAGCTCAACTTTGAGTTCTACAGAGAGATTTTGTTTTTGTTTGAAACGAAGCCTCTATGTACCCAGAGCTAGTCTCTATGTAGCAAAGGCTGACCTTGAACCCCTGATCTTCGGCCTCCGAAGCCTAGGTGCTGGATAGACATGCACTGTCACCCCCAGTTGTATGTAGTGCTCCGGATAGCACCCAGGCTTTCCCTCATGCTAGCAAAGTGTTCAAACAACTGAGTCATACCCCTTCAGCCTTTTTTTTATTGTTGTTTTTGCATCGGGATCTCATGTAGCCCAGGCTGGCCTCAAACTCACTATACAACCAATACTATCCTTGAAGTCCTTTTCTTCCTGCCTCTGACTTCCAAGTGATGAGATCACAGGAATGTACTACCAAGAGCAGAGAGTTGTAAGCAATGGAGGAGCCCCACCTCACCATCGCCCTGGTCCAACCCAGGGGTGGGGCAGGGACAGTATAAAGGCATTACAGAAAGGTTTGTAAGGGAAGCCTTGGAGTGCTGGGCTAACCCTACCAAAAAATCAAAGTTATCTTGAAGTGTAAGAATGAGCATTGAGCCGGGCTTGGTGGCACACACCTTTAATCCCAGCACTCCAGAGGTAGAAGCAGGCGGATCTCCGTGAGTTCGAGACCAGCCTGGTCTACAAGAGCTAGTTCCAGGACAGCCTCCAAAGCCACAGAAAAACCCTGTCTTGAAAAACCAAAAAAAATAAAAATAAAATCAACATTGAGCTGGTCTCTGGTGGCGTACACCTTTAATCCCAGCACTCGGGAGGCAGAGGCAGGCGGATCTCTGTGAGTTCCAGGCCAGCCTGGTCTACACAATGAGTACCAGGAAAGCAGGGTTATACAGCAAAACCCTGTCTCAAAAGACAAACAACAACAAAAAATCTCAAGAGTTAATGACCTTATCTGTGCTTCCATCACTCTACCTGTGCTCAGGAGCTCCTGTTGCTAGGAAGAAGATGAAATTGGAAGCACCGGGGTGGAGTAGGGGGAAAGCTGTTACATTATTCAGATGGGGACTTCAGGCTTGAGCAGTGTTCAGCTCAGGAAACAAGGAGGTCAGGCCTGGCGCCCACAGGGACTGGAAGCTGTGAGCTGGCCCCAGAGATGTTGCAACCCAGCCAGGGCAGAGGCTTTTCCACCCCTTTCACAACC